AGTTTTTAGAAATCATTTTTATCTGCTCCTTTTTATAATATTGAGCACGCATTATCTGTCTAGACTATTGTGGTTTTTGTCTTTAATAAAGATTACAGTATGAATAAAAATAAAAGCAGTATTTTTTATTGCACTCATGCTAAGTGCCAGAACTACTCCAAATAGTATATATGTATTATCTCATTTGTTCCTTTTATCAATATGATGATACAGTTTCCATTATAACCCCCATTTTATAAAGCTAGCAAAACTTGTCCAAGGTTACAAAAATGATGGTGGTATTCTAGCTTATACCTAAGTTTAGCTAATTAACTATTATAATATGGTGACTTTTGACTAGCATTTTAATTAGGTGATTTTCCCAAATCTCTTGCATAAAACACTTAATGATAAATTGTATACATATTGTTACCACACATGCTTATTAAACTCTAAAGCCTCATGTGTAGGCTAGTTAAATGATCTAGTTTGATTTTGGGTTAATTTAGAAGGATGCCACTTGGACTTGTTTGTGTTTGGTTTTAATGATGGCCAGGGCAGTGAGATCCTAAACTGACTATGGTGTCCCAGGGTATATGGGACTCAGTAAAGGCATTTAGGGGGAGAATGTAGGGTTTTGATGGCCATTCAGGGCAGGACACTCAACCTTAGGATCACTAAAGAAAGGGGAATGAAACTGAGACTGTTGCAAAAAACTGAAAACATAAAAGGATTCTCATTCATGAAAGGACTTCTAAAAAACTACTCACCAGCCCAGGGTAGCAACAAGGATATATTTTCAATTATGAGTGGAAAAAGAAAGAAAAAAAGTAAATTTAAACCCAACCCTATTGTGTGGGGAGAGTAGCCCCAAGACAAAAAAAAATTGATATGAAGCTACTCTTGGACTAGTGAAATCTCTGGACAACTAGCAGAGGGATGTGCAAAATTATTCTGTAGCAACAGTTGCACAACTGAAGGTTCCAGGGACTCCCACAGAAATCACAATCTTGCTAAAGATAATCTCAGAATTAAAATGTACAATAGGATGCAGAAACTTCTAAACATGACTGAAACAAGTGAGATTAGACCTTCAGGAAAATTAGGGAATAAAAATATAGTAAAGGCTACAAAGTAAGTATGTGTCAGATTAAAAACATGATAAAGAAATAAAAATCATAATTAAAAAAACACGATAGATTTAAATATATATAGAATGTATAAAAATAAATGTATCAACAAATGATTAAAAATCATTTTACTCTGTTTTTACTCTGTAGATAAGTAAAAAATAATAAACTAAAATGTAAGGTAAAAATTGAAATTAGAAAATAGTAATTAGATCTGAGGATATACCCTGAAAGCAGCACAGAGTAGGAAGGAGAAAAAAACATGAGATATATGAAGCAATAGTATGTGTAGATAAAATGGTCCAGAAAAAAAAAAATCAATATAGAGAATAATGAGAGTGAGGCAAAAAAATTCTAGAAAAGTTAATGCCTGAGACTTATTTTAATAATAATCAAAGTAACATAATAAATTCCATGTAGACTTTTCTTAAAAAAGGAAATATTATAATAAAACTGCAGTTCAAGAAAGACAAAAAAAATTCTTCATGCAAACCATATTAAGAAAGACATATTTCTTATAACAGGTAACAATTAGATTGACAGCAGTCATCTTATCATAATAATTGATGACAGAAGACAGTGTAGGCTGGCTAATATCTTCAAAGTGCTGAGGGAAAATCATTGTGAATTTACAAATCTCTTTCTGTACTCTCATTCAAAGTCTAGTCTACTTTCATTCAGCTCAGGGAAAATAGAAATGATTGGGTATGTTTAAACGTTACAGATTTTTACAGAAAGGCTATTAAAATATTTTTATCCGTAAGAAAAAAATTTGATCCAGAAAGAGGGGTTATAATTTGAAAAATGAAGAAGTTAACTGATAGTTACTGTGAGTAAACTTTAATCACACAAAAAAAATGGTGATAATAATAATGACTGATTTGGTGGGGAATGTAACTACTATAACAAGATAACACTAAGACAGTATACAATAGGCTGAGTGTGGTGGCTCATGCCCGTAATCCCAGCACTTTGAGAAGCGAAGGGGGGTGGATTACCTGTGATGAGGAGTTTGTGACTAGCCTGGCAGCCTGGCCAACATGGTGAAATCCTGTCTCTACTAAAAATACAAAAATGAGCTGGCGTGGTGGTGGGTGCCCATATTCTTAGCTACTGGGGAGGCTGAGGCAGGAGAATCACTTGAACCTAGGAGGCGGAGGCTGCAGTGAGCCAAAATCAACATTGTACTTCAGCATGGGCAACAAGAGTGAAACTCCATCTTAAAATAAAAATGTCTATATATCTAAAATTTGTATATGTGTGTGTGTGTGTGTGTGTGTGTGTGTGTGTGTGTGTGTATGACATTTTAGGGGTAGTATAGAAGTGCTTAATTGTATAAATTTATAAAATTAACTTGAAAAGTTAGATCAAGTGAAAAGGATGAATCACCCTTTAAATATCCGTATTTACTATAAAGCATACATACATAATGTCTTACTGGCACAGGTAAATAAAAATAGGACAATTTTTAAAAAGCCAAGAAATAATTATATGCACATACATATTATCAAGATATATAAGTCATGGACATTAGAAATCAGTAAGGAAGAGGAAAAGCATTATTATATACCGGCTCAATAAGTAAACAAGTAAAAATAAATAAAACTGGCCATACATATGGGGAAAATATAGATTCCTACCTTCTACCATAAATTACTATTTTTTAATTATTATTTTAATATTTTATTTTATTTCATCACCTTTTAAGTTCTGGGGTACATGTGCAGGTTATGCAGATTTGTTACATAGGGAAATGTGAGCCATGGTGGTTTGCTGGACAGATTAACCCATCACCTAGGTATTAAGCTCAGCACCAGTGAGCTGTTCTTCCTGATGCTTTCCCTTTCCCTGCCCTCACCTGATAGGCTCCAGTGTGTATTGTTTCCTCACCCCCATGTGTCCATGTGTTCTCATCCTTCAGCTCCCACTTATAAGTGAGAGCATGCAGTGTTGGGTTTTCTGTTTCTGTGTTAGTTTGCTGAGGATAAAGGCTTTCAGCTCCATTCATGTCCCTGAAAAGGACATGATCTTGTTCCTTTCACTGTAAATTAAAAAACAACTTTATTTTCTTTCTAAGCAATTTAAATGTTTTGCTTGCATGAATAAAACTAAAACAAGTCAGAGATTGGAAACAGATATATTCAAAAGCCAGAATAAACGATTAGTGTTTGGTATAAATCAAGTACTTCCACAAGTCAATAAGAAAAATATAACCCTATTTAAAAATGGGCAAGGGGCATGAACAGAAGGAAGTTCAAATAGCCAATAAATATATGAAAACATGTTAAGTCTCACCAGTAATCAAGAAAATGCACATCAACACTACAAAGAGTGAACATTATATATTATGTTTGGAAAACATGAATATCTAATTACACTGTGTTATATAGAATATTGAACTCATATAAACTACTAATATAAACTCATTTAAATTACTAATAATGACAACTGGAGAACAATTTGTAAGGAATTAACATTAAAGCTGACATATTCTATGATCTACCAATTACATTTTGAATGAACTGCTCTAAAGAAAGTTAATGTGCTTAAAGAGAGAGGTACAATGGTGTTTATTGAAATTTATTTTGAAATGAATTTGAGAAGGTAGAGTGAAGAGATTTTATCTATATTATGAAGAATTTATTTCTTAAAAAGTTAATCTGAATCAAATTTGACAATATTAACATGTATTAAATCTGGATGGTAGGTAACTGTTATATTAGGTTCTTTACATTTCTGATGCCAAATATGTTATGATTAAACATAGAAGAAGCACATGATATATTCAAATGTTGGAGAATGAGTTTTGATGATTTTAAGAGGAGAAATAGACATAGGCTTTGTTCATTTATAATTGGAGTTAGTGGATTTATTATTTGGAGTGACTTGAAATCTTTTTTGCAGACTTATCTACAACTGGCTATTTCTTTGGCGCAGAAATATATCGATGTGCAGCCAGGTCATTTTGTACACATTGACTGTCATATACATATAAATTTGCAGTGACAGTTTTTTTCCTATTGTCTACAGTGATAAACATGCAGAGAAGTTTAGCTATTAGTGAGTTTATATCATATAAAAACTGAAAATCAGTAATTTTATCCCTGAGAATCATACATTTGTAACAATGCCATTCTTCACTAAAATTTATTTCTTTATACATATGTGTCCCCAACTATATAGTGCTCTTTGAGAAAAGGATTGTACTTTATTCATTTACAGGCCCTTAAGGATTGACATGTAGTAAATACTCAATACATTTTTGTGGAAAAGTGTTGTTTACCTTTTCAGTAGCACAAGTACTAATGAGAATATGTTATGTAGATGAGTCACATGATACATATATACATAGAACAAAATGTATGTTTTCATCTTTCCCTTTCTACTACTTCGTACAGAAGCAACTACTGCCAAGACCTTGACATTCCTCTGAATTGAAGTTAAATATTATGTATATATTCTTTACCAAAATATTCTCTGTGGTATATATTCCACACTTGCTGTTTAATAATCAGCTAATCACTTTGAGAACCCAAGGCAGGGGGATCACTTGAGGCCAAGAGTTCAAGATCAGTCTGGGAAACATAGCAAGACCTCATCTCTACCAAAAAAAAAAAAAAAATTAACTTAGCCAAATGTGATGGTGATGCCTGCAGTCTTACCTACCCTGGAGGCTGAGGGAGGAAGATTACTTGAGCCTGGGAGTTTGAGGCTGCAGTGAGCTATGATCACACAACTAACTGCACTCTAGCTGGGTGTCAGGACAAGGTCCTGTCTCATAATAATTTACTAATATCAGATATTATTTTTGATAGCCAAAGGAGTATCAAATATAAATATCAAATATGCAAACAAACCAAACAAAATCTTTGTAGGGTTAATTTTTGACTTTAACTTATTTATGTCTCAATAGGTATTTTGTTTGGTCTACATTCAACATTAAAACTAAATAGCTTTTCAGGCTACCAGATATTAATACCTCAGGTTGAATTTTGACTCTGTTTTTAAAAATAATTATCTCTGCTATATATAGATGATTTTTAAAAGAAAATCATTCATGTGCTAGGCAGAAAATGTAGATACTTAATGGCTTGATTTAAACATTGTATTTACCTTGATAATTCAGAGGAGGCTCACATAGTGTGTGTGTTGAGGCATGAACCCAAAGCTGCTTAAAAGGATTAATGTTGCATCTCAAACTCAGCTATACTGATAGGTTTCTGTCATATGAGAGGCTTTAAAAATAAAATTATAAAGGAAAAAGTTTGTCCAGGTACTGATTATATGCAGATCGAAAGTGTCTGAAAAATCTGTTTTACTTATACAGCAGAGCTGCAAATGTTATTTATCTCAATCAGCAGAGCAATGGTTAGAGACTAGTAGGATTAACTGTAGGCAGCTGCCACCTTTACAGCAGACACATCTGCCCACAGAGAGCCAGGGAAGATGGTTGTATAAATATGGCAATGACTTCATTCAGTTGTCATTATATCCATCTTTCAAGCAACTTTTGCTCCTGAAAATTGTATGGCTATTCTTCTATTGAGTCTTCCAGTCTTTCCCAGTTTGTGGATTTTCCTACTTTGGCATAGACACATTTGACAAATATATTTTGAATATCTACAGTTTGCTGAGCATTTGCATAACGTGAGCATGAGTCCTAACTGCGCTGTCTTTTCTACCTCCAACTGCCTATTTATGAAACAGTAGTTATTATTGTCTTAAGCTAAATCTTAGCTGACAGGGCCAATTTATTTTATGAGGATATTGTTCTGAAAAAAAAAAAAAGTATAAAACCTCTTGGTCAGGTGTGCGAAGAAGGTCATTAAAGGTTCACTATAAAGGCAAAAACAATAAACAACCTGATCAAACATCAAAGATCTCTCCAAGCCCGAGTTCTAGTGTTCTGTGAAGTCTTAACTCATGAAAAGAAGGCAAAAATTAATTAAAGAGATCAAAAATTACGATCTGTGGGTCCCATCAGAGTAAATTAACCTCCTTTGATTCCCTCTATGGTATCAGTGGTTTGAAAGTTCAAGGTATTTTGTCTCACCTCTTTATTATCTGATTCTATCTTAATGTGTTAAGAACAAAATTTTCTAATCATTAGCTTAGGGAGGATTGTTTAGCCCCATTCTTTTTATTTACTTTAGTCTTTTAGTTGAATACACTTTTAACTACAACATGGCTTGGACCAACTTGTGTGCAGGAATAATAAATACCTTTACATCACAAAAATAATAGGGTAAGCTATGGTCCTGCTGAGTAGCTCTTCAAAAACTAAGCAGGAGTTACCATGTATTTATTCGTTGGATTTCTGTGGCACTTTTCCGCCAAAGAGTATAGGGTATAATGTGGATAAATTTGCACAGGGGTTGCCTTAGAGTGTCAAAAGGAAATTAAAGGAAAGGAGTGCTTGTAGGAGCATAGAGCGTAAGAAATAGCTAATGGAAAAACCAAACCCTGGTTGGCAGCAAGGCAGGCCAAAGGAGGTAGAAGAAGCTGGGCTACCCCAGGGGTACCACTGTTGACTTTTCAGAACATTGAATCATTTCCCCACAGCCTGTGTATCTGGTGAGCACTCGAGATTTCTGTTCAATATTATTTGAAGACAATCATGTTCATAGACTCATAGGGTACGAAACAACCTTAAAAAATATTTGCCCAATTCTCTTAATTTACAGATGAGGTACATGGAACCCAGAAAGAACAAAGAAATAAATTAGAAGCAAAATCAGGGTCAGAAACAAGATCATCCATTTCTTTAATAAACATACATTAAATATGTTGTGCTAAGCACTGTTCTAGGCACAAGGGTCACCTTAGTGAGTAACATGAACATGGATTCTGACTACCAATGTCCTGTCTTACACTGTTTTGTTCTACCTCCAGTTGCCTATGAGGGTATTCAACATAGTTTGCAATATACTTTATTATTGATTCTAGACCAAACTCTCTTGAGGGAACAGACTTCAAGTGACTTTGTTAAGAGAAGGTAGTTCTTTTCCAAGTGTCTGCAAGTGTGTTGATATTCTTTGATTCTTTAGTGCTCATAGGGAGCCTCTGTCACATCAGCTGAAAATCATTTACTATATTGAGCCTAGTTTGTGTGCCACTGGAAGGGAGGCTTTCCTTGCCACCATGAGCAGTTTATTTTTGTCCTCTGGTAGGACTGGCAAGGGGCTAAAACATTACCTCTCATTGAAGGAAACCGTTGTCTCTTAGCATTCACCTTATCTTAAAAGTGCCTCACATGATCGTCCAAACTCTAATCAGATAATGGAAGTACTTAGTTTTAGAATCGAGTGTTAAAATTCTTCAAAGGAGCATAGTTTAAAAGCTGCTATAAATCTACCTTCCCAAAGGTGATATTTCAGTCATCCACTGAACACTGGATGGCACTACAAGAAAACCTGGGATTAAAAAAAGAGTAGATTACTCTTTTTAGTTTAACACTAGATTTAAACCCCTGTCCATCATCCAGTACCTATGTTGAAAAACGATCCTGTAAAAGCTGCCTCAGTTCTTTTACAGGTAAAGCTAATGACTTCTAGAACCACGAACCTTCACTCAGGCACTTGGGAGAACACTTCATCCTGCTCACTTTGCCCTTAGTCCCAGGCCAGTCTCTAAAGGAATAAAGTATTTACCTTGTAAGTTGTGGGTAAAGCTGGCTGGTGGGCAGAGAAGTGATATTTCTTGGACCAAATAGAGTTGGGGGAGGGAAAAAGGGAAGGAAACTTGTGTTTCCAGCCACCCTAACAGCCCTGAGAGTCCTCTTAGTCCTCTTGGATATGAGTGGGATTGGGTTCCAGGGACACCTGTCTGTGCCTGCAGGGCCAGATTCATGGTGGCTCTGCCTCTCCCCTTGCCTGGCAGCTCTTTCCCCATGCCTGGCAATTCCTGTACTGGCTGATTTACCTGCGAGGCTGTATGTGGATCTGTCTTTACGTGGCCACTGGCGCTAGCACGCACTGTCAAGATAGAGGGAAGCCAAAGCGAGGATTGCAACTGTCCAAGCCTAGAGCGGGAGGTGAGCTGCCTCCAGACTCGACTGCAGCTTCCCTTCCTCCTGACACACATGGAGTTTGGTAGCGACGGTGCCTGTGCTGAAGAACCGCAGACAAATACTTAGCCAACTGGATGTGTGTGAGCTGGCTACAAAGGCAGCGCCTGCCTCACCCGGACCTCCTGCTGGCAGGATGTAAATATACCTGCAGACTGGCCAAACAGGACTGCCTTTTCTCCCCAAGCCCTCCCTCCTCCCACCCTCTCCCTCAGCTAACCAGCATGAGAGAAACTGAGAAAGCAACAGCCTGCAAGTGACAGCTCCAGCCTGATTCCGTTCGTCTCTGAGCCGAGGTGGGAAGTTGATTGTGCGGCAGCTTCATTGTGAATTCCTTCATAGCATCGCTATGTTTGCCTCTATCTGGTATGCCAAGAAGCTGGGTCGCAGGTTCGTGCACAATGCCAGGAAGGCGAAATCAGAGAAGGTATGGAATGAGTGGGGTTGAAAATTACCTTTCCGGTTTGCCAACTGCCTGCTCTGAACCATTGGTCTGAGTACAGACGCAGTCTTTATTTGCTTGGGGTGTGAACCTGCCTCTCACTGTGAATGTGGTCCGTGCCACTTTGAAAAAGGATAACACTTAGAGTCTAGGTTGCTTGGGAAGGGAGCATTAAGGGTTAAGCAAGATCATTGGCTATTCAAAATATATGGTGAAATCATCAACTGATAAAATGTCTTCACATAGACTTAAGATTCCTTTAAATAACATAGAATGAAAGCAATTGAGCAGCTTCAATTTTTGCTTGTTCAGAGAGCTCTCTAGTAAACTTGTTGCTACACTGCCTTATTTTATTTATTGTGATCTTTGGTTCTGAAATGGGCATTATATATACCTGAGCCTTTCTGTAGTACATGTGCGCCAGTGTGCGTCCTAGGAACATATATCTAGGACTCTCAGTAAGGTTGATCAGACTCAACGGGGATGCTTGGTATCCTTTCACTAAACCATCATTTGAAAAGTGTTCACAATGAGCAAGAATTATATTTATAACCAGGTAGTGTGGCCATTTAGAGAATAGATTTGCATTTCTTGTATTCAGCATGACCAGTCATTTCCAGAGAATCTCTATGTAGACTTACTTAATTAGTTATATTTCTCTGAGAAATTAAAATGGCCTGTAAGTCCTAGGGTATATTACATGCTTGGAGATAAGGAAGGTGATAACTTATATCTTTAATTTGTCCAGTGCTTTCTGGGGGCACTGTCCAAACTGTCATATTTAGGGAATCAATATTCAACAAGATGGGCATTGGGGAAACTTGCAAAGGTAACAAAATCTTGTGAAACAGATTTTTCATATTCCTCTGAGGATCTGATCTTTAGCCCAGTCTCTTTAGTGCTTTATATAAACTCATGGGATTGACCCAGAGATGGCTCTCCAGGTCTGTGACACAGCCCTTTCTCTCACCTAGAAAGATGCCTTCACTTTAACTTGCTATTCATTCCTTCAGAGTGGAAATGATAAGATGAACAAGAATCCGTGATGAAACAAGATACGGGTTTTCTTTAGCATGAGAAGAAAAAATATCATTGGAGTTCTGACTTTAGAGCTGTAGCCTCGTAGAATGTCCAGATCTGACAATTATAGAACGATGACTGACATGTTATTTAGCAACACTTTTGGTGGGGCGGGGGGGAGGATTGGGATAGAATTGGTCTCTTCTCCATTCTATATAGCCCAGATAAAAAGATTACAAGCCTAATTATCATGTATCTACTAATATCATATATATTGAACAGTTGGGTTTTGAGCTTGTGTTTTGTTTTGAGTTTCAAGTAATTTTGAAGGAAAGAGGCTTGAGAGTAGGTCTTTTATTGGAACAAATGTTTTAGAAAAGTCCTTTCTTCCTATAAAAATTGTAGGCTGTATGGATGAGAGAACTGTCAGAGACCACAAATGGCTCTGAAAGCCACTGGGAGATAATACTTTATGCCAAATTAGTATGCAAAGAAAGTTGAATCTCCCAGAAGCACTTATTTCAAGCTTGGGCCCAAATATGGGAAATAGCAGCTCTATCAAATTCAGTGTATAGAACCTACAAAGATATTAATACAACAAAGTAACATGAGCTTCTGCTTCTTAAGCTAGTAAGGGGCCTTTAATCTGTCTCATTCATTTCTATGATGGCTAATGTTTAAAACAAGCAAGAAGAAACCAAATGTGATTTTAAGGGTTCAGAATATTTACTTAACTAAGAGAGTAAGGTGCATTCACATCAGGAAATCTACATTAGAGAACTGAAGATTTGCTCTCTGAGTGATAAAGACCAAAGGAAAAATTAACTCTACTGCCTTTCTGATAGCAAGAGAGCTAGGAGGAGTTAATTTTGAACACTAGGTCATGATAAGCAACATGAAATAGCATCTTGGTATTTTTTAATGGAATTTGTATTTATGGAGTTCCTGAAATAAATTAAAAGGTATGTTACCTTGAAAATTATAGGTACTCCATCAATGCTTGGTGAATGGAAATTTATTCATTTGTTTTGTATAACTAATTTTATTACATAGTTTATTTAAACCTATGATTTTAAATTAATATTTTTTCTAAGGGTTCGCTAATGTACTTTAGCTAAGAGAGTTAACAAATAATATAATAAGCTGAATTAATTTACATAGTGTAGTTCTGTAACATCGAGATCATATAGTTGCAAAACAGTGGGGCATAGAAAGTGCTACTAATGATATGTTGTCATGGTGTATCAACAAATGGAAGAAGATGTATAGAATGAAATTATTATTGAATTTTATTTTTTAAATGACCAGTATATTTAACTGCGAAAGAACATGTTTTAGCAGTTGGGGAGATATATCTTTACAATGGACAATGATTGTGATTTTTAGTACCCTCTATAAATTTGGAGCTTTTTTTTTTTTCAGTAGGTAAGTTTATTTCTTCACACTCTAATAAAACAATCTGAACACATCATAGCCCTTCACAACATTCAGGTATGACCCGGAAAGTATTTTCCTCAAGATTGGGGTTAATTGAAAAGCTATTAATAATTAGGAATGTACAAGACTAAATGGCATTCTAAACGCCCAGTGTGACTTATTACTAGTTGTCTGGCCTACTGTTTTCCCTCAGCTAATGTCAGCAGAATTCAGCAGCATCACAAAATGCCCGTCATAATGCTCACAAAAATAATATTAATGATGATAATGTCTATACACCTTATGCATTAGCTTCTTTATGCATAAAATTTAATCGAAGCAGTTCTATTAAATAGAAATTATTTTTCCTGAATCCTAGAGAGAAGAGTAGCTAGTCCAAGGTCAGAAGACTAATGCCAAGTATCAGTGCTGGGATTTGCACCTAGCCAGCCCAAGGTATTCCAAAACGGACTCCTTGTGTCTCTACGCTTTCTTCCTTCCACTCATCATGCTCCTGGATCCCCTGATCTGTCTTGTCTGAAGAAGGTTGCTCATCTTTTCTTATCTTGTCCCTCTCTTTTATATTAGAATTTCAAACTGATAAGGTTTACAGACTCAAAGTTACTGATTGTGTAACTCAACCTCTTTATTTCAGATAAGACTATACCTAAGCTATCTTGAATAAACTGTTTTCTTTCCTGTTGTTAAATATTTTACATTCTTTGTCTTCTATTGTTGGTTAAGTGTAGCAAACTTGTTTTGTCGTTTTTTCACCTATTTTTTTTTGAGATGGAGTCTCACTGTAGCTCAGACTGGAGTGCAGTGGCACAATCACTGCTTACTGCAGCCTCAACTTCCCCAGGCTCAGGTGGTCCCCCCACCTCAGGCTTCTGGGTAGCTAGAACCACAGGCATGTGCCACTATACCTGCTAAATTTTGTAATTTTTGGAGAGTGAGGTTTTCTCATGTTACCCAAAGTGGTCTCGAACTCCTGTTCTCAAGGGATCCACCCACCTTGTCCTCCCAAAGTGTGGGATTACAGGCATGAGCCACCATGCTAGGACACATATTATTCTATTTAAATACCTTTTAATTGTCATATTATTATAACCTTAACATTGGCATTTTTACTCATTGCTCATTCCTATAGAATCCAAAGATGTCTTTTATCAAAAAGGACCTAAATGCTTGGCAGTTGTACATGTGCTTTCTTTTTGAAATAAGTCAAAGATGTTAGGTGATTCATGTTGACATTTTCCTAAAAAAGCTACACAAGAAATTCTTTGTTATTCCTTCATTAAAAAGTTCATTTGTACCAACAAATTCTGTTAATAAAATTATTTTAAAAGTGATAATGTGAAATCAAGATTGCCTGGCTGGGATAGACTACCTCCATTCAAATTAATTATTCCTTTCTTCTTTGTTTTGACCCTGTGTAATTAATTCAGGAATTAGCATCTTACTTGTATGCCTGTTGTCATGTTTCAACTTAAATCACTTAGTCAATCTCCAGATTGCCTTACTCTAAAAAGCCAGTTAAAAAATCTTCAAGATAAATTGAAAGTGTAATTTCTGGTGACATAATAATACAAAGAGTATTGAAATACCAAAAGTTGTGTGTCTTCACTTCCCTGTCAGCAATATATTGATTATTTCATTTGTTTTTGTTTTAATTTTTATATTTCTTTATCTTTTAAGTGCACATTATTAAATGTACCTTCATGATGTATTTAGGAAAGACTAGTATTAATATTCATAATCCTGTAGATGAGCTTGGCAGTTATATATAAGCTATGAGTGATGTAACTAAGCCCACATTGTCCTGGCATTAGGCCATATTCACCTTGGAAAACTTTTCGTTGACAGTACCTCACTCTGTGGCCCAGACTGGAGTGCAGTGGTGTGATCTCAACTCACTGAAACCTCCACCTGCAGGGTTTAAGCAATTCTCATGTCTCAGCCTCCTGAGTAGCTGGGACTGCAGCTGCGTGCCACCATACCCGGCTAATTTTTTGCATTTTCAGTACAGATGGGGTTTTACCATGTTTCACAGGCTGGTCTCGAACTCCTGGGCTCAAGCAGCTCACCTCAGCCTCCCATAGTGCTGGGATTACAGGTGTGAGCCACCATGCCTGGCCTACCTTGGAAAACTTCTTAAAAACCAGCACACGGCCGGGCGCGGTGGCTCACGCCTGTAATCCCGGCACTTTGGGAGGCCGAGGCGGGTGGATCACGAGGTCAAGAGATCAAGACCATCCTGGTCAACATGGTGAAACCCCGTCTCTACTAAAAATACAAAAAATCAGCTGGGCATGGTGGCGCGTGCCTGTAATCCCAGCGACTCAGGAGGCTGAGGCAGGAGAATTGCCTGAACCCAGGAGGCGGAGATTGCGGTGAGCCGAGATCGCGCCATTGCACTCCAGCCTGGGTAACAAGAGCGAAACTCCGTCTCCAA